CAGCAGCTGTTTCAAAACAAGAAGTCACATCAAAGAAATGAACTCTTAGCACAGCTCCTACATGAAGGTTTTTTCAACCCAGATAAAGCCACCTTGATAATGGTGAGGAGATGGAGGGACTTCAGGAAAACTCCCTGTTCCAGAGAATTAGTGAAATTGGCTTCAGTGTTCATGTTAAGATGTCAAAGCAATTACAAAAATCAAGCAGGAAAAAAAAAATCCATCTAGGACTTCTCAGGCCTTAGCCCGGCGTAGGTGGGGGTAGCTCTGCAGAGTCCTGTCTATTGCTTCATCCAAACTCACCACTGGTTTGTAGCCCATGTCTCTTTTGGCCCGTTCACAGCTATAATAGTGAAACGTTCCAGCTAATGCTACCCGCATGGGCGTAAAGGTGGGCTTGATGGTGACCAGCGGACTTAGCAGCCACAGCACCAGAGACAGGAACAGGGCCAGGTAATATGCCAGCCAATAGGGAATATGGTACTTGGGAGGATCGTAGTTCAAGCCAGTCAAGATACGGGACATGAAAGCCCAGAAAGGAACCGGTTCATCATTTGTGATATGAAATGCCTGAAAGAGAGGAAGACAAAAACCCAGATGATAAAATCATTATGGTTTTCACAAATTTCTCTCTGTGATGGCGCAGCTCATGTTCATGCCGAGGAGACTGACATCCCTGACTTGACTGAGAACACATTTTCACAAGAGACTGCTTTGCACTAACCACCTCTGTCTGAAAAGCAATGAACCCCTTATTTGCCAAGAAAGCCAGCTACATCTGACACTCCAGAGGTTAAGATTACTCATAAATGGTCGAACAAACCGAATGACACAACACAAACACAATAAAGCTTCCTAGCTGTATGTACAGTCCATGCCCAGAGCACAGTGGTGCCCTGAACATCTATAAGAGTTTCTCCTGCTTTGAACTCTATCGTGAAAGCTAAATAACTATGTTTCTTATGTACACAGCTCAGCTGCCCACAATTCTGCCCAGATTTCCTTTCACAAGGAGTTTTACAGCATGAAGTTAAAGTATATTCATACATTTCAGCCCATGCGGTTGCACACAACAGTCACCAGATGGGCAACCGTTCATTATACCCACAGACAGAAAAAGAATGGACCAATTTGTGTGTGCTAGTTCTACTCATCTCTAAGATAGATGTTCAGTACAGACAAAAATCAGCATGAATTACAGAGCAGACACATGAAGCCAAGCAAGGCTTGCAGGTGAAGTTCGGCTAGGGAGACCCACTGCCCTCCCCTTGCTAGGTCCTTCCTTACCTTCCCACACAGGGGAGAGTGTCTCTGAAGATTTTCTGCAGCTAGGATGTGTCCATGGACCACGTTTTCCACATAAGTGAAATCTACCAAGTTCTTTCCATCCCTACACAGACAAGAGGAAGAAGTTTAGCCCTAAGGCAAGTTATGCTGAAAATCTGCTTGTGACAAAAGGAAGGACTTTCCCAGAAGATACATTTATTCCAACTTTCCTCTTCTCCTGCTGCAACTTCAGGCTATACCGTGTCAGAGAGATGAAATCATTGCATATTATTTTGGAGACAGAGGAAAGGCTGTTATTGTCTCAGCTCTTGCCAAGGCCTTCAAAGTTTACATTCCTGGAACAGTACCATTCGTAAACCTCACAAGTTACCAAGTTTCTAGGTGATGCAGATCCTAGGGGTCTCAGAACCAGCAGAGTGATCCACAGATGCAGAACAAATAGAAACAGAGTGGTAACTAGCGCAAACAAAGTCACTTAAGGACAAGCTTTCAATTATGAATTTCTTGGCTCATGAAATTTAACTTACTCCCTCAATAAGCCAACTTCAGCCTTGGCTGAAACAGGTTTAACCCACTGTGTTAGATCTATTTCCACACAGGTACAGAAAACGAATGTATTCACCTGTGCACAGATACACACAAACCAGCTCCTTGCATGTAATAAAAATCTATTATAAATTAAAGAGCACATTTCTTTTCAAGAGCATAATACAAATGATAAAAATATCTTTAGTAGTAGCTTGAACTATTTCTTGCTCTGAAATTTCAGTGCTCCACTAGAACCTCTGCAAGGCTCAATAACAAGGCAAATACCTTTGTTTTTATCATCAGAAAAATTAAAACACTACCATATACATATAGGCTTTTCAATTACAAGAACCTCAAATACCAGCAGTGTATATTAGTTAAATTATCAGCAAGTAATCTGAGTGCTCTCATATTTAAAAGGACAGCTCTTTAGATAATGCAAAGACAGCTCAAGCTATGTCAGCTTTCCCCACTGATATTCTTTTTGCATTATGAACACTTCCTATCTGAGTGCATGAGTCCTAACACAGGGGGATTTAAAAATAAAGAATCCTGGATTACAAGTGAAAAATTAAAGAAACATCCTTTTTTCCATGCCACCACAACACTACTGATTTAATATTATTCCCTTCCAAAAGGGCTTTGTATGTTCAGCATCAATTTTAACAAAAGCTATGAAATGATTTGAGCCTTGCTCACCCAATTATGAACTTCATTTTGCCGCTCTTAGCTGCTTGGATGAGGATGGGAACCAGCTGAGGGTCTCTAGGACCAAATATTCCATGGGGACGAATAGCAGTAGTGAAGAAATTGTTGTCTGGGTCATTTGCACTGAGCACTTCCTGTAGGGGAAAAAAAAAAGATAAGCAAATCAGGAGAGGAAGGCTGGGAAGAAAAATATGGCTTAGTAATATATTCCAAGATCATTACTAAAGGGGGTGAGCGTTCCCTCATTCCTCAGGAAGGCATCAGTGGAAGAATTACTGTCCACCCATATCTTTACAAATAAATGATCCTTCCCTTGCTCCATCTCTTCTCCCACTTCTCTTTAATGATAAAAACAGACAAAATTCTGTTTTCATTATTGAACATTTAATGAATTGACAGGCAAAGGAAAGGAGCTCTTCGCCTCTCTCCTTTAACGCCACAGAAACCAGAGGAGCTTTGAAAGTTCCTTCACTCCATGAATTCTTTACGGACATGTTGGAGAAAAGGAGGACACTAAGCAATTCACTGTCTCTCATCAATCAGTGGAAGATTTCCATCATGGTCCTTCTTGATCGCACTCAGAAGGGTTGTGACCCCATTTTCCCAGCGGCACCACATGCTAAGCAGATTTAGCAAGGCATCTTTGAAGAAGATTTAATTCTATTGGGAGTTTCCAAACAACATGTTCTACTTATTTTTTACAGCTGCTGGATTTTCTATTAAAAATCCAAGAACCACGCAAACAAATAAACATTGAATGCTTTCACTGTTTCACCAAAAACATAGTTACAAGCATATTGAGCTAGACTTCATCGCTACTCATAAGCTTCCACTTTATGAGTCCACTTTACTGCTTGCGAATGAACAGATGGTTTTATGCTGTGGTTTCAGTTAAGCTCTTTTCAAGGAACAGAAGAAAAATTCTTAAAGGCTAATACTTGACTTTAGAGGATACACTGTCAGCTTCAGTATGGAAGCAAGTCTAAATTCTTCTTGCACAAAAAGCATAGATTCTTTCCACAACTGAAATGCAAGCCACTGAAAAAATGTTTGTTCGCCTTGATTTAAGGCATTGTCCTAGCATATTTAAACCACAAATACAGCAGCACCAAGAACGTGAAATAGAACAGTTACTGGTAATCTGCAAATGTACAAAGTAGCAGACATTCAGATGTAGGGGAAATTTTTAGATCTTTTTTAACAAGAGTATTTTCAGTACATGGCCAATAGCATTAGCTTACAACATGTTATTAGGCTGGCGTGCTCCTTAGCTCACATCTCCACCTCATCTCCTCCTTCCCCAGTAATTTGTTCATGATCCCAATGTAACTGCCGCTTGCGCCTTTCGCAAGTGACCCACATCCTTTCCCCTGCCATACTTCTCTGTAACAGAACAAGTGAATCCACAGCTCACTAGCCTCCATGCTGAGAATGAGGGCTAAAATCAGACGGATTTGTCGAAGAGAAGGGAATTTTCTGTTTCAGCTATACGCTGAAAACTCCGTCAGACACTGCTACATATGCATGATTCTGTGCAGATTTTCTTTGCAATTGTAAGAACGAGATACTTCTTTTTAATGGATTCTGGAGAACAACAGAGATCTGTTCAGTCTTGGAGAGTCTGTTGTATCTCCTATGGCACGGCCTACTTTTAGAAGGGCAGCTTTAAGCATCGAAAATAACAACGTTAACCATATGATGACAAATACCTTCTCCTGTAGGATCTTCGTCTCTGTGTAATAGTCAATAGGTTTTTTTGCATAAGGGAGGTCTTCTGATCCATTTTTTATGTCTGTGCCCTCAAAAACTACACTGGCGCTGCTAGTTAACACCAGTTTCTGCAACAGATGTGAAAGAAAACAGTTGTTTAAAGCCTAAGACAAAAGGATCATTATTTACAAAGGCTAAGTAAAGACAATAATAATGTTTAATCAACTGATTCTACAGATAATAAACTAAGTCTAGAAGATCACGGGCTAACACAAGATGATCTTAAACTGCAGGTAAGAAAACTCTCACTCTTTTAATTGACTCTGTCACATTGTTGCAATGTTTTAATCTCCATTAGGTAGCAATAAACAAACATCCAAGGCAGCCAATCAAGGGGCAAACATCCCCAGGAAAATCAGAGCACCCACTTGGCTGGGCACATTTTTGCACTTGACACACAACGAGTGTTTTTGAGATACATTTGCTCATCTTGACGATTACAATATCCCAGTAGATTAAACCAAAGAAGGATTCTTATCTTGGAAGTTTTTGTTGGATAAAAATGTACCCTAGTGGATTCAAAACAGGAAGTCAGTGATGTATTTCAGTAATCAGAAACATGTGGTTTTACACAAGATCTACACTGTAATAAAAAGATGACTAGATCCAACAAGTTCCAACAAGACTTAACTCCTTGCTCTGACAGAATCCAGACGAAGCCTGAAGGTAAACACCACGTGGCCCATTTCCTACAACAGCTTATTAGACGAGGGGGGAAAAAAACCAACAAACAACAAACTGTGGGGCTGGGAGTCCTGCGTAATAGACATTAATTAATTTTAAACGTTATCACTTCCGTATTTGTACACGGACACTATGCAAAATGCATGCTTTGGAGGCAGCACCTCCGCCCAGAATAAGTAAGGCATTTTCACATGCCTTGTGCTTGAAAATTTGCTAAGAATTTAAATGAATGCTCATATGATATCAAAATAATAAAAGGAGAAAAAAATACCCACAACCTTGCCTGAAGAGCAGTCTGGTTTCATCTAGCTCTTTCTTTTGTGGGCAAATGACTTTCTAAACCAAATTATACTGAGATTATGGCACAAGTGTGTTCCTTCTCACTGTATGTCAGAGACTTCAAATAGGTAACAGATGCCACGAATACGTCCACTGCTGGAGCAGGCTCCCTATTACAGCATGAAAGAATGCACTTGTCAGTCGTGGTTCTCCCATGGGTGATTCCCAGACGTGTAGTAGGACAAATTTTAATGGACGCTTTTCCTGTAGTCAGGAAGATTGCCATGTGTAGGTTTTCTGTGGCAAACATGGACTGAGCTTACACCAGACGCTACATGGGAGACCAATAGAGTCTCTCTTCTACTAATTTTCACAGAACAAGTAGGAATTCAGTATCTGAGGGACCTTTGGCCCTCTTATCAGACTGGATTGAAATTGGTCCATGCTGCATTTGTTATCAAGTCACAGCAGCATCTTATAGTCTCCGTGTGCTTTTCTACCCATACCTGCACTCCAGCTTCTTTGCAGGCTTCAATGACTGCTTTGGTTCCCATAAAATTCACCTTATAAAACAGTTCCCTGTTGTCACTTGAAGGTGCTGGTGATGCACAATGGAACGCCACTGACACACCTTGTAAAGCCGGGAGCAAAGCCTAGAAGATACATCACATGAGACAGCAATGAGGCCTACTCAGGGGGAAAAAAAAAAAGGAAGGAAATAAAACACAGTTCTTTTTCTTATGGAAACCAAACTGCCAAATTTCAAGTCACATTCCCTCCATAAAGGTGAGCAGCTGGAATAGGCTTAGCATCCAGGATCTTCACAACATCCTCTCCTTCTTGCTAGGCAAAACCATGCTACATCATCTTTTCTTTCCAGAGAAGAACCTGAGAACCTTCTGAGACCTGGAGGCTATCTGGACTTAACTACTTGCAATAGTCTCAAGTGCAGGTATGAGACTCAAAATTACCTGGAGATAGGAGTTAGAAAGCTCAGGAAGCAGCAGGTTTAACAGCCAACAGTACCCCATGGCACTGTCTGTTTGAGATGACTGCCCTAAAGCTCTGAGACATGATACTTTATATTGGCGGGGAGACATCTCTTCACGTTGCATACAAATGCTTTTGCCAAGGCTCACACCCACGACTGAGTTAAGGCAAGAGGTCTTAGCGTGCCTTAACTGTTAGGAATAACGCACTCTGCTGTTCTCATGCAGCTGAGGTTAGCTAAGCGAGCACCCACATGCAATTACCAACAGCGACTGTAATCACACTGTATATCTGAGCTAACAGTAATGCAAATCATAATACAGAAACAAGGTCTGTTCTTTCCAGCTTCAGGCAGATGTCAAGTATGTCTCTTTAAATGTTCTAGATGAGGGTTCCACAGAAAACGGCTTAGGCTTCTGACTTCACAGGGAAAGGTTGGGGGGCATATCTACATACCCTTTTACAACCCATGCAATGCCTTCAGGTGTTTCAGTGCTTCAGGCAAGGCTCAGCAAGCTGTTTGAACGAACATTTACTTAAACAGGTATCCTTTCTATCTACCCATGTCACGTACTGTTGTTAGTCTGTACCTCTTTGTCACAAAGGTCTCCCAGGAAGAACTGCACTCTGTCATTGTCAAATCTCTTCTGAATATCAAACACATTGACCGCGTAACCCTTCTCCAGGAGCTGCTCCACCATGTGCTGGCCTAAGAATCCTGACCCACCGATCACTGTACATTTCTTACCAGCCTGCAGAGACAGGGAGAAAAGCGCTTTAGCAAGCAGACATACACCAACAAACCGTGCAAGTAAACTCAGCTGAACTTCCCGAGATCTCAACTGACAGCTAGTCAGTAGCTAGTTTAATTGTAGGAGTCTAAATTCAGGCATCAAAAGACTCTTCAATATGTCTGTGCTATCATAGTAACTTAAAAGTTCAGACACGCTAATGGTCCCTACGGCTCACGTGCTGGACTCTGCCTCATAACCAAGTGGCTTGCTTAGTAGGGAAGAAAAAGAGGACCTGTTCCAACAAACTCTGCCCTGATGGTAAAGCAAACAGAATTTGTTTCAGCCACATGGCACAGATAATTCAGACTACTAAAACTGTCACCATTAGCAAGGACAAAACCATTTTCAGAGCATGTGAAACTTTGGCTTCTCCACGCCAAGAAAGCAATCAGGTAAAGGTAAGGCTTATCCTTTTTAATGAGTCACTAGTTCTTCCCTTTTTTTTTTTTTTTTAAAAAAGCTTTTTAAAATCAATGGCTAGAGTCACTAATTAACAGATTCCAGTCTGGTCACTCATCTAACTGGACTGAGACTGGAGACCTCACCGCCAACATAGAACATACAAGCTAAGAGTCTGAGGAAGTTTTTGTACAAATAATACTCTGTCCTGGTTGGAAATAGATTTGCTCCTTATTGGTACTACACAAAACCTCACCTCTGCAGTTATACTATCGAGCTGAAGGGAATTTTAACCCAGTGAAACCATACAAAGACAACAATTGTTCAGAAGTTTCTAAGTGCTAAATCCTTAAACAAAGGTTCTACTGCAAAGTGTTAATTATCCACAACAGGAATTAGAAAAGTTCACTACAGTTGCGTAAAGCATAACCAGTTATTTAGAATGGTGCATGCAAAGCAGGGTCTGATTAAAATAATTTTTATAAGTTCTAATGGGTTGGCCCAGTGGTCTATTTGGTTTTGATAACTGCAAGAGAACAGATGATATAGAACAAATACGCGAGTCTAAGGACTCCCTGCAGTTCACTCTCCTTGTATTCCCCCCGTCACAACAGTTTTACGTTTGCTTTACTCGTCAGCTTCCCGACCCTCCGAACTCCGTCACATCCCTCCCCTCTGCAGTGTCCTCTCACTGCTGAGGGGTCAAGCTTTTTCAGCTTCTCCTCAACAGGCAGCCACTCCATTCCAGTGATATTTTTACTTGCCTTGCCCTGTACCCTTTCCCATTCCAGTGCATTCTTCATAAAATGAGAGCACCCGAACTTAGATACACTGAACCGGAGTTTTACAGTGGCAGAATGACGCCCTCTGGCTGGCTGCAACTATCAGAGTCATTTTCTACCAGTACAGATGAGATAGTCCAGGTTTTTCTGTATGATAGTTTTCCACTCAACCAAGGATAAGGACAGTATTCTAACTGGTGATGAGAAGCAGAGTATTAAATAATCTTTAGTGCTCATTTATAACATGCAATATAATCTAGTACACACACCTCTTGGGAAAGTACTACATGAACCAACTCAATGACCAGAATCAGTATAACTGCAGCTAACAGTGCTGCACCTGGATTAATTAGCTGCTTTAAAAATGCAGGTAGAGAGCCAGGCTACGCACGATTATACTGATTTTAGGGTATAATTACTACCTATCTCGTGCTGTGAGGATACAACAGTTTGTTCATGCTCTCTAACATGACACTCCATTGGTTGGGGTTTTTTGTTTGTTTCCTAAATATCGGAGGTTCACTGGTCTTCTATAAATTTCAAAGGAAATAATGAGAAAATAGTCCAGAAGACAGAAATTTCTGTATAAAGAAGAACCACAGGTAATACAACAAAACAATTTAATGAATTGTACCCCTAAGAGTAATGTCCAAACATCTCTCTGAGCTAACCAAAACGTTACTCTTCCCATATTCTAACCTCCTGCATTCAATGCCGCAATCGGAGAAAGAGGTAACAATGATCTAGTAGATCTCAGGGATCTGCATGGAATAATGTTATCAGGCACATAGAAATGATCCTGGAGTAACTAAATCTCCAGATCAATTGTTTTGGCAGCACCGACAAAGCCACTGGTGTTCTTTGGGGGTTGGAGCATTCCTGGCTCCTTTGGGAGCTACAACAGCAGCAAACTATTCCTTGGTGAATCACGTTTCCCCCAGCAATACCTCTGGAGGAGGCATGAGGGCAGAAACAGTCTCATGTCTTCTCTAGCAATGTTCATAAGAAATATCTATGAAAATATGTTTCTGCAAGACAAACCTTCATTTGAGTCCTCAACTTACCGATCTGAGGTGCGCGGCCATTTCTTAGATGATTCACTATCAACTTGATTCCTCTAAAAAAGGAGAACATTATTTTACTCACAATACGATAGTTAACTTACTTAAGCATACCATTAACACAAACCAAACTTCTTTTTTTAAACAAGTTTCTAGTTATAGAAATCAAGGTTTGAAGCCATTATGCTAAAGCAGAATCATCAAAAAAGTGAGCTAATTCTCCCTGCCTTGCTGAACAAATAAGCAGTACAAGAGTAACAGTGACATCAAATAGCTTTCTCAAAGGCGTAGTTTTAATAAAATACCATTGATAACAAAGGCACCATCTGATTTTAGCTACTATTAGCTTCACACACTTCTTTTAAGTCTGAATATTTATATTGCAAATAACATGAAGGCAACTGCAGGTTCCGGCAATATCCTCTTCAAAAAAATACAGTTGCTCAAGGGTGTTAGGAACAACAAAATAAAACTTAAGTTCAAGCATCTCAGCAGCAGCCAGCCCGCCTGTTCCACAGCGGCAGACACAGCAAGGAAGAAACGCCGGCATTTGCTGGTGCCCATCAGCAAAGAGAGGGGAGCCGGTGGTGAGATTTTTCCAAGTTTTTACATCACAGACTGTTGATGCCACCGGTT